AAGTACTCTCTTCTCAATAACAAGGCTATTGCTGGGAGGATGGTGCGTATGAAGGCGGAGATGATGGAGGCGTTCGCCGCGTGCGGCGATTGAGCGCCTCCCTCTCTCTCCGGCTGCGCGCCTGACCGGTGCTGCGGCCTCCGAGTCGGAGAGATTTTTGAAAACCAACAAGAAATCACGACTCTCACTTCTTCTTCTCACTTCTTCTTCTCCGACCGAGTCGGCGTCTAGCGCGCGTGATAACGTTTTTGCTCGCCTTCCCTGGGACCCCGTGTTTTGCGTGACTGTCTCTGTGCGATTTCGGGCCCGGGGTTGTGCGTTTATGTGAAGCGCCACATGACGTATTTCTTCTCAATAACAAGGCTGTGAACGGACCCACGACCACCAACGTCAACCCGCTCGGCGCGCAGCTGGGGCAGCTGACGCCGACGGGCGAGTCCTTCAAGAGGGCGTGGGAGGGCATGCAACGAGAGGTCCGCGGCGAGGGCGTGGCGGGGCCTCTTGATCTCCGGGCTCCCGAGGCTGGCAACGGGCGGGCCGGCAGCGCTGGGCTACAGCGGCAGCTGACGCAGCAGCGGGAGCAGGTCAAGCGCAAAGCTCAGCCGCAGCATCCTCGGGCTGCCGCACGGCGACACGCGGCGGGAGGCGTGGCTGGCCGTCGACTCGTGTTTCTGTTTTTGTGTGAACGGACCCGGTTGTGCGTTTATGTGAACGGACCCGGGAGGGTGGGTTACGCCTGCCCCGGGCTCAGTCTGCCTGGGCACCCCCGAGTGAGGCGCTATGTGCAAGGCGCTGATTCTCTCGCTCCTGCCGGCTGTCGCCAGCGGCGCCTCGTACACCTCCACGCTCATAGGCACATCGTGGCGCGTCCGGCTCGACATCGGGCTCGAGCGAGGGTCGTGGATGCCGAAGAACATCAAAGGCTGGGGTGGGTCGGGCGCGAGGGTGGTTGTGTCGGCGCTGGTGGACTTCGAGGCCGAGCTCGCAAATGAGGCAGAGGAACTCGTGGGACCACGCAGTCAGACGCGCGTGCTCAACGCGAGAGGTGGCGGCAAGATAGTGACGTTTGACGGCGAGCAGGCGGTTGACTTCACATCAGGCGGGTGGTGCGTGCAGCGGCCGCTTGGCGCGCAAGCAGGCTCGGACGAGGGCCTCCTGCGCTTCTGGCTCGACTGCCCGAGCGGCTGCGCCAGAGGCGACGTGGTTGTGCCGCAGGGCGAGCGCATCTTCTTCTCCACCGGCGTCTGGGACGACGCGCAGGGGGTGCGGCAGCTCTGCGAGAAGAAGGCAATGACTGAAGAGCGGCTGCGTGGCGGCGAGGCTGGCGATTCGGCAGGGAAGGATGAAGACCGCTCCAGCTCGGGCTTTGCGCTCTCGCTTCCCGGGGCCGCTTTCCGCCGCCAGGTCGCACAGCAGGAGGCGCTGACTGCGCTGAGAAGCCGGCGCGCCTACTACGAGAGCTGGGCTGGGCTGGAGGAGGGTTGGGAGGCGATCCCGGCAAAGCAGGGCTCGCTCTCGCTCAAGCGACAGAGCGGCATCGGGCTGCTCGGCCGCGCCATCGGCACAGAGTACCACATCCTCGGAACCTTTGGGGCGGAGAGGGTGTTGCGCAGTCGTCCGAGCTAAAGCCGTAGCGCCGGAGTGTGTGTGTGAGCCTCGCCTGCTAGTATGTTATAGCTTTTTACGTTTCAGGTCGACTAGGTAGTAGGTTTGTCGTTTGATGGTCCTGTACCGCGAATCGTCTTCGGACTTCGCACTGCCGGGCCGCAACGCCAGCGCATTCCTAGGCGCATTTTCACACGTCCCGCCGCTCGTCGAAGAGATATTTCACTTTTCAGCCAAACGCAATCCACAACCTGTCCGTCATCTCCCCACTAACACACATTCAACACACACTCTGCCCCATCTAACCGCCTGTCCGACACTCTCGTTCCTATGGCTCTTGATGGGTCGCCCTCTCCTTCAGATCGACGGCGAACCCACGCCGCCTGCCTTCTAGCCCCTAAACCTCGTCCACCCGCGGCCGCAGCGCAGCCGCCCGCGGCTCTTGTGGAGTCCGGCCCCCGCCTGCTGCTCGCCGCTCGGGCGGGCCCGATGGGGACTGCTCGGGACCTCTGGGCAAACCGCCGCCGAGCAAGCCGCCAAAGGTATTGCCGAAGAAGCTGCCAAGGAGTGAGTCCATGAAGGGGTCGGTGAAGGGATCGCGAGCCTGGGCGTCGGCCCCGCTGCTGTTGCCGCCGAACGGGAAGCCGTTCCCGAAGGGAGAGCCGCTCCCGAAGGGTGAGGGAGTCAGTGACCACTCAGCGGCCGCCCCGTCCGACTCCTCCTCGATCCTCTCCACCTCCTCTGCGGGCTTTCCTGGACAGTGCCGGAAGGTGCGCCGCAGCATCTGGCAGCGCAGGCGGCCCTCCTCGTCCGTCGCGCAGCGGCGCTCGACCGAGGTCGAGTAGGAGCAAGCCTGGTCCATGGCTAAAGGCGTAAACCGTGCGCCGCGGGCTGGCGTCGCGCGCCCAGGCTGAGAAATTGCACGGTGGGAGCAAACACATGACGGCTCGATAGACTCGAGGGGCCAGGATATGCAGCAAGGAGGGCGGAGTTGCGCCGAAAGGCGAAAGAAGCCGAGAGAACAAGGGAACGGCAGGCGGCGGCGGCGTCGCAGGACGAGGCAGAGGAGAACGACGCGACAGAGGAGGAAGTGACAAGGGAGAGCACGACGAGAAGGGGGCGACCGCGAGGTGGCACGAAGGTTGAAGCGAGAATCGGAGAGAGACTGCGAAGTGAGATAGGAAGAGGCGGACGCCCAAGGGTGGGCGACGGCTAGCGCACCACATCCACACCGCCTCTCCTTAAACGATCCCTGTGTTCAGCCTGTGAGGCTGTGTGGTGCGCCGGCGTGCGCCGTCCTCCCATCCCTCCCTTGGGTTGTCCGTTTTCTTTCTTTCTTTCTTTCTTCATGAGCAAACATACACTGTACACAGTAGCCACACAAAAGCCGCATTCTCCACCGACTCGTCCTCAGCTCCAGCCGTTCCCATGTCGCGACGCGGGACTCGTCGCGGGACTCGTCGCGTCGCGGGTACATGCCCTCGCCTCTCTCTCGCTCCACTCGCGCTATCGCGCTGCCTGCGGCTGCCCTCGGTGCTACCTCTCAACGATGGTATGCCCGTCCCACCCCCCTACGACCTCGCCTCAGTCGACGATGAGAAGGTCGTCCGAGTCGTCATCGTCCTCGTCCTCGGTGGCCGCGCCGTCGCCCGCCGCCGCCGGCTGGATTTCCGGCTGGTTGGTCGACTCCGTCGCGGCCGAATCGGAGTCCGCCTCCGCCCCCGCCCCGGCCGCCTCGGCCGCCTCGGCCGCCTCGGCCGCCTCGGCCGCCTCGGCCGCCTCAGCCGCCTCGGCCTCCGCCTCTGCCGCCGGGAGGCGGGGGCGCACATTGCGCGAGCCGCGGCCCGAGGTCCCTGCCCCCGTCCGGGCGCCTCGTCCGCCGCTCCTCGCGCGGCTCGAGCTGCCGCCGCCGGCGCGGGGCGAGGGCCGGGAGGGTGGAGTGCCGGGCGAGGGCTGGGGCGAGGGCTCCTCGTCCCGAGGCCTCGAGCCGGCCCCTCGACCCCTCGCGCGGGAAGGGGCCACCTGCGAGGAGGCTGCCTGCGAGGACGAGGCGCCGCCGCTGCGCCGCGGCCGCGCCCTGTCAGCCGACGTGCTGCCGAGGTCCGACGAACGCCCGCGGCCCCGCCCGCGCCCGCGCCCGCGCCCGCGCCCGCGCCCGCGCGGCTCAAGCGGCGGCATGTTGTCGACGTACCGCTGCAGCCGCTTGTCGTTGTAGTCAAAGCCCGCCATCACCTCGAGGAGCGCGCGGCCCAGCTGCGGGTCCGTCATGAGGTACTTTGTGATGAGGCCGTCCCGGTCGCCGACCTCGGGCTGCAGGTCCTTGAGCTGCCGCGCCGTCAGCGGCGGGAAGCACTCACACGGCGACGGGGGGAAGTCGTCGCACTTTTGGCAGGTCGCGGTGCCGGGCGGATGCGAATCGCGCATGCAGTGAAACCTTGCCAAGTCGTTGTCGAACCACTCGTCCCCGGCTGGGTGCCAAGTTGCGACGAACTCCTCGAGCCGGCCCCCATCGGTGCCCTTGCAAATCATCATGTAATTGTTGAAGCCGGCCGCGCCGCCGACGCCGCCGTCGGCCTCTGGCTCCTCTTCAGCCTCCTCCAAATCAACCTCCTCCGCCTCCTCCTCCTCCGCCGCCGCCTCCCCCTCCTCCTCCTCCTCCTCCTCCGCGTCCGCGTCCGCCTCCTCTTGGGTCGCCGCCTCCGCGTCCTCCGCGTCCTCCGCATCCTCCGCCTCCTCTTGGGTCGCCTCCTCGTCCTCCGAGTCACCCCCTCCTCCCTGCTGCGCTTGCTGCCCTCGCGCCGCCGGTTGCGTGTTTGGCAGCGCCATCTCCTCCGACTGCGTCGACGACCCGGAGTCGCTCATCTGAGCACAGTCGACCTCCATGTTGCTGCCGTGCTCGGGCATGTTGCTGCCGTACTCGGGCGTTGCGGAGCCGTCTGAAGCAGCGCCCGCCGCGTTGGAGGTGCGCGGCATGTCAACCAGGCTTTGCCGGCCGCAACCAGAAGGCAGCCGAAATCAGTGAGGGTTGGGGCCCCGAGGGAATAGGGGAGGGTACGTTAGCCTAAGGTCCCGACTACCCCGGGGGGAAAACCCCCCCCCCCCCCCCCCCCCTCACCCCTAGCCTAGTAGCGCCTAGCGCGTAGGACGTTAGGACGACGCCTTCGGCTCTAAGTAACTTAGACTCTAACCTTCGAGCTACGTTTTACGTAGTAACCCTGAAAGCGGCGAACAAAAACAACAATGACACCATGGTTCAAAGTTTACATACAGCGCTCGCACACAGGTGACAGAGCTGGGGCACCAATACCAAACGACCTGACGACGTCGCACAGCAGCGCCGTGCGCCGACCGTGCCTCTACGCCTTTGCAATCACCTCCACGCCTTGCAATCACTTCTACGCCTTTGCAATCACGTCCACCTCGACGCACGAGCCGAGCGCCAGCGCGGAGCAGCCGACGGTGATGCGCGCCGGCAGCGGCCTCGTTCCGAAGAACTCGAGATACGCCGCGTTCATCTCGCCAAAGCGCTCCTTTGTGTTGTCTACCAGGTAGCAGTGAGCCATGGTGATGTCCTGGACATCAGCGCCGCACGCCTTCAGACACGCCTCGACGATCTGCATCGTTCGCAGCATCTCTGGCTTGGGCCCACCCGGCACGATGCTGGGCGGACCTCCGGAGGACGGCGGTGCCAGGCCGATGGAGCCGGACACGTAAATGGTGCCGTCCTCGGTGAGGACCGCTGAGCAGAATGGGATCTTGAACGGCAGGGTCCCAAACACCTTGCTCCAGTCGAGGGTGACGAGTGTGTTGGATCCGCAGCTCTGTGTCGAGACGGCAACCACGCCACATCCTTCGAGCTCCACGCTCTCTGGAATGCGCCGCAGCAGAATCGTGCGGCGCAGCCAGCTCCTCAGGACCAGGGCGGCGGCGAAGCCGGCGGTGGTCGCGGCGAACAGCGCTCGCATATGTGTGTATATGTCCGACTGTGGCCAGCGGCACTCTCCAAGAGAAGCGGATACAAAACAAGAAAACGCGCGGTGCGGCCGACTGCACTCCAAGTGCTAAGTGCTTTTCTCGCATGACAAGCGATCCCACGACAGCGAGTGTGGGGACTACATGATCCGTACGTAAAGGGTGGAGGGGCCCGTCCGCGCGGGAACTCGCGGAGCTAGGCTGCGGTACGCGTACGGGCGCCCTCCACTGGGGCCGAGGGTAAGAGGACGTCTGCCGCTTGTTCTTGACGTCGTTGACCCAGTTGGCACGCCCAAGAAAAACGCTGTCTTGGAATTTCCTCGCCGTTTCCTTTTTCGTGCATTCCGCGACCATTGTGCACTGTACTGCTCCAAACGAACAAACGATACCATCCTACGAATAGGCCCACGAGAGCCCCCGGCAGCGGTGTGGGAGCAGGATCTGGGCTGCGGCCGGGGAAGCGCGAGCTGATGTGTGAATTCGCGCAAGCCCCTGAGCGCTGAGCCGCGGACGGCGACGAGGGCATCGACACATGGGTGTTGCCCCAATATATCCTATCCTCCCTCTCTACACGGGTGTGCAGAGCGAGAGGCTGCGCCGCTCCCCTGCCGCTCCCTCCACCTCGCCCCCGGCGCCCTCTCGCCCCGCCCGGCGTGCCCCCCCTGCTCCTCTACTTGAGCGCGTCCTGCAGGAGCGGCGTCAGGTACTCTGCAACCTTGAGCGCGTCGACCGCGACGTCGATGGTCGCCATGCCCTCGGGCGCGCCGGCGGCGCCCTTGATGACGTGCGACGAGGAGAGCTCCTTGAGCGTGATGTAGTCGTCGTGCTGCAGGAAGAAGTACGGCATCATCTCCGGGTCCTTGGCCGCCGCCTCGGCAACCTTTGTCGACAGCGCGGCGTCCGGCGTCTCGGCGCGGAAGAGCTCCTTGCCCGAGGCGTCGCTCACGACGGCGATCGAGTTGCCGCCCGAGTCGGAGCCGCACCGGTCGATCATCAGCGTGATGGTCTTGCCGTCCTTTGTCTCGACCGTGAAGCCGACCTTCGCAAAGTCGGTGAACTGCTTGCCGCCCGGCCCCGTCAGCGTCTTGCACTCGGAGAAGGCGGCGTCGGGGGTGACGGACTTGATGTTGTCGACCGTCACGCCCCAGTAGGTCGCGAGCAGCGCCAGCTCGTGGATCGCCATGTTCTTCAGCATCCCCTCAGCGTTGCGCTCAAAGCACTCGGGCAGCTCGTCCGGCTTGTAGGCGTTGTTGTGGTAGTAGGTGGTGGTGGTCTCGCCCTTCTGCTTGCGCGCGAACTCGAGCGCCTTGCGGACGTAGGGCGTGACGTTCTTGTTGTATCCCATGAAGACCTGCACCCCCTTCGACTTTGCGTACGCGCGCATCTCCTCCAGCTCCTTGACGGTCGGCGCGCCCGGCTTCTCGAGGTAGACGGCGGTGCAGCCGAGGTCGATCACCTCCTTGAGCAGCCGCGGGTTGTCGGCGGTGCGGCCGGAGATGAGCGCCATCGTCGGGCCGTTGATGCTCACCTCGTCCAGCGACGCGCAGAACTTGGTCCCGTGCGCCTTGCTCATCTCCTCTGCCCACACGCCAAACGTCTGGCCGGGCGGCGAGTCCTTGCCCTGGCCGAGGAACCACGGCTCGACGACGGTGGTGAGCGTGGCGGAGGGCACGTCGCCATCGAGCATCTGCTTCGCGTGGTACCACCCCATGCCGCGCTTTGGCACGCCACAGCCAACCAGGATGACGTCACACTTGTCGCCGCCGCCGCCGCGCAGGCACTGCACGGTGGCGAGCGCGTCGCCGCGCGTGCTCTGCTGCTGGTGCTGGAGCACGCGGCTCCGGGAGAGGGACGAAGGCGGCGCGGAGCGGTCGTGCGCGCCCGCAGCGCCCAGGATGAGCACGGAGAGCATCGTAATGGCGCCTGCTGGGGATCCGGAAACTCACACGTTTCTTTTCGCCCAGAGTTGTGCTTTCACTCCTGAACGCTGTACACACTGTAGTCGGACCCGTGAACCTTCTGCTGTGAGAGCCCCTGTGTGAAGAGTGCGTAAGGCTTTGATTTCTTTTCATCGGAGTCGCTTAGGCGGCTCCGGTGGTGAGCCGGTGTGTGTGCCAGTCCGCGCCAGTCCGCGCCCTTGTCGTGCCAGCGTGCTGTGAGAGAGGCTTGTGTTTGAAGAATTCTTTTCATTGGTGTGCCGGTGTGTGTGCCAGTCCGCGCCCCGCCCCCAGAACACCGGTCACCGCAGACTTGGGCAAATGACAAGTGCGCGCGCCGCAGCGCCAGGCGAAGAGAGAATTTGAGCGGGGCTCCTGTTCACACTCGTGTGTGGGCCCTTTCTTGGGGCCGCGCCTGCGGCGCGCCGTCCGCGTAGACCGTAGTTTCTTTAGATTTTCGCGGAAATCGCTTGGTTTCTTAACCACGTTTTCTTACTGCCCGCAACAGACTGTAGACGACGGTCCACGTATGGCGCCCCCGAAATATCAGCAGACTTCTTTTTGCTTTAAACGTGCCAGATGCTGGCGCGGTTTTTTTTTCATTTTTGGGCGCAGAGTCGAGGAATCAGTACCAACAACGCAAATGCCGATGCGTGCCGACAGCAGGCGCTTGCTGATGCGAACCGGCACGGCGCCACTTGTGACGCTCGACGATGACCGGGTTTGCACGATTTGCGTGGCGCTCCTCGGCCAGTTTAGCAAGGTTGAGGAGATGCTCGAGGAGAGTGGCAGCACCTCAAAGGCTTTGGACTTTGAGGGCTTTAGCGAACTCGTCGACCAGCTCGAGGTGCGTGCTCCCAGCCCGACCGGCAGGCCATCTTTGCCATGATTGACCGGGACGACAGTCGCACGATAGACGCAAGCGAGCTGAAGGACGCCCTTCGGTCCTCGGGTGCAATCACGCGGATGTACGACGACAGCCTCCGGACTTTTGGGCTCCTCCTCGGGGCGACGCTCGCCTTTGACGGCGGCGTCTGGCTTGCCAAGGGCGGCGCGGCAGCGTTTGACTTCTTGACGGCCTATGTGGTGGAGGACTCGCTCTCTGTCGACAACCTCTTCGTCTTCCTGCTCATCTTTCGCTACTTCAAGGTGCCGCCCGGCTCGGTCGATAAGTGCCTCAACTACGGCATTGCCGGCTCCATCCTGCTGCGTGGCGTCTTCATCTTTGCCGGCCTCGCGGCGACGAGCGCTTTTGCGCCGCTGCTACTGGGCTTCTCGGCCTTCCTGCTCTTCTCGTCGTACCAGCTGCTCTCGGGCGCGGACGACGACGACGACGACGCCGAGCTGCCTGGCGTCGTCATCGAGTTGCTCGAGCGCTTGCCGCTCACGGGCACCTTCGAGGGCGACAGGCTCACGGTGCCGAACGAGGCGGGGGCGGGGGTCCTCTTCACGCAGCTGACGGCCACCCTCGTCTCGATCGCGCTGTGTGACGTGAGCTAGGAGGGGAGGGGCAGGCGCCCGCGCACGCGTGCACGCCGCGCCTCACCCGCCGCTCACGTCGCCGTGGCAGGTGATCTTTGCCGTCGACTCGATCCCTGCCGTGCTCGCGGTAAGCGACGACCCTTTTGTGGTGTACTCGTCGAACATCGCCGCCGTCGTGGGGCTGCGCTCGCTCTACCAGCTGCTCTCTGTCGCCGTCTCGGACCTCGTCTACCTCGAGAAGGCGGTCGCCCTCGTGCTCGGGTTCGTCGGGCTCAAGCTCGGCCTCGAGGTGGCGGGCGTCGAGGTGAGCTCCGCCCTCTCGCTCACCGTCATCCTCTCGACGCTCTGCGGCGGCGTGGTGCTGTCGCAGCAGGCCGACGCGGACGAGAAGGAGGCCTACTCGCCGCACGCGCCGCAGGCTGTCGGCCTCGCCCTCGCCTCTGCGTTCGTGAGGCTGCGGGCAGCGGCAGCGGCGCTCAAGAGACTGGCCCGGACGAACAAGGGGTCGGATGGAGAGTGAGGGCGGGGGTGGTCGAGAGTCATACACGTTTTCTCAGAATCAAGGAAAAAAACAAAAAGATTAACATTAAAAGAAGAGATGAGTGCATGACGTGTTTTGGCACTCGGTATCTAGACAGCCCGGGGCTGCATGAAGAGGACGGGTGCTCTCCGCGAATGGGGGGGTGCTATGCGCGGGGTGCGGAGAGGTGGAGGCGCCCGGGTTTGGGGCGCGGGACGGGGAGGGGGGAGGCGATGGGGGGGGCGGGATGGACGAGGAGGGGGGGGGGCGGGGTAGGGGAGCGGGGGAGGAAGAGGGGGAGGGACCCGAGTGTGGAGGAGGCGGTGGGGGTTGAGGGTGGGGAAGAGAGGGGGGCGTGTTTGGGGAGATGGGGGATCGGGAGAGGGGGAGGGGTGCAGATGGGCGGTCGGGGGAGGCGGATCGGCGGGGTCCGCGAGGAAGCCGAGGAGGGCAAGGAAGTCGCGGCAGGATAAGCACACGGGTCGATTGCGGTGAGGGAAGTCCTTGGCTTGGGGGGGGGGGGAAGGGGGGGGCGTCTGATGCAGGAGGGGGGTGGAGCAACTCTCTGTATGCTTGGTGCAAGGAAGTCGCGGCAGGATAAGCACGCGGGTCGATTGCGGTGAGGGAAGTCCTTGGCTTGGGGGGGGGGGAAGGGGGGGGCGTCTGATGCAGGAGGGGGGTGGAGCAACTCTCTGTATGCTTGGTTAGAGCTGGCCAGCTACATAAAGTACAAACGCGGACCGGTGGGAGGAGGCGGCACCGAGTGGCTAAGGTCGACACCCTCTCGGGCTACGACAAGGTGAACGTGATCTGGTCCTCACGGGGTCGACCCGTCTCCTCCCAGGGCGTGACGGACTCTCCGTGACAGCGTACGGTCGGACAGACAGGTTATCTCTGGCCCATCTCTCGCGCTCACACCAAGCGGCTGACCCCCCCCCCCCCCTCTTGCCCGCTGCACGCGAATTGCCCAACTCTCCCCACTCCTGCACAATTCCTCACAATGATGGGACAACCCATTCTGGAGTGGTTCGACCACACATCATCCGGAGAGGTGACGGGAGCTATCGGATGATCTCAGGCCCGGTTGGAGGGTAGTGCGTCGGATTGCCTGGATCCTGCTGAACAAGCTCCTCTTGTAGCTCGATCGGTCACACCGCCATCGCCGCCGACGTCTCAGTGTGAGATGATGCTTGATGGAGAGGGGGGACGACACTGCTTCTGCAGCGTGCACCTCGATCCTGTACCGTGTTTGTTATGACCCCCCCCCAATGAACACACCAGTGAGGGAGGGCGAGACGGTCGAGGGGTCCACAAGTGCTCAAGATGGGAGCGTCATGTGGGAACTACAACTGGAGCCGACGCCCACGCACCTGCCCGTGAAGCGGTTGGGATCGCTCCAGGAGTCGGTGTCGCACTTGTCCTTGCAAGCCTGGAGCTTGTCCTCAAAGGTAGCCCCGGGAGGAGTGTTGAGTTCCGCAAAATCAAAGGGAGTGTCCGCCCCTTTGTAATACGTGTCGACGTGGCTCGGGCTGCTTGCTTCCGGGTAGTTGTCGCAGGCCTCGCACTCGCCCTTCACAAAGCACACGTTGGTGGGGTGCGCGTACGTCTGAGTCTCCGTGATGGGACAGTCATCGCCGACTGCACAACGGTTCCCACTCGTTCGACTGAGATAGAACCTCCACACGCCAGACTGCGTCGCTGGTAGGCCACAATTGGTGAACTCGATCCATGGCTGGCCGGTGGCTCCATGTTCACCGTTGCACGCCATTCCTTGCAGCTCTTCGAGCATCGCCTGTCCGTTGCTGGCGTACAAGTTCGGCGAGTTATCATACCCCGAATAGTTGTTGACATCGAAACTGGTGCAAGAGGTTAGTCTCGCACAGAGCGCACCCGCAACTTCCGCCGCGGCATCGAAGTTGAGCAGCCCGCCGGCGCCATTAACCAGATTTGGAGCCTGGAGCGTAGCCGGGTGCTTGCCGTTGCTCATACAGTGGCCTGTCGTGTTCATCTGGTAGAAGCCGAGGGCATTCGGAGAACCGCTCACGGCGGCTGCGACCACCGCAGGCGGCTCACAGTAGGGCGAGGTGGAGGGCGGCGGCGACGGCGAGGTGGAGGGCGGCGGCGACGGCGAGGTGGAGGGCGGCGGCGACGGCGAGGTGGAGGGCGGCGGCGGCGACGGCGAGGTGGAGGGCGGCGGCGGCGACGGTGAGGTGGAGGGCGGCGGCGGCGACGGCGACGCAGACGGAGGCGGCGGCGACGGCGAGGCGGAGGGAGGCGGCGGCGACGGCGAGGCTGAGAGAGGCGGCGGCGACGGCGACGCGGACGGAGGCGGCGGCGACGGCGACGCAGACGGAGGCGCGCAGTTCTCCTTCATCAGAAGGACCCAGTTTGGCGAGCCTTCCATGGCTGCGTCCTGATGGTACGGCGGGTCCATCACGCCGTAGCAGAAGCTCAGTCCCGCGTGATTTGCGTCTGCAGCGTAGCCGACGCCCACGCACTTGCCCGTGAAGCGGTTGGGATCGCTCCAGGAGTCGGTGTCGCACTTGTCCTTGCAAGCCTGGAGCTTGTCCTCAAAGGTAGCCCCGGGAGGAGTGTTGAGTTCCGCAAAATCAAAGGGAGTGTCCGCCCCTTTGTAATACGTGTCGACGTGGCTCGGGCTGCTTGCTTCCGGGTAGTTGTCGCAGGCCTCGCACTCGCCCTTCACAAAGCACACGTTGGTGGGGTGCGCGTACGTCTGAGTCTCCGTGATGGGACAGTCATCGCCGACTGCACAACGGTTCCCACTCGTTCGACTGTCATAGAACCTCCACACGCCAGACTGCGTCGCTGGTAGGCCACAATTGGTGAACTCGATCCATGGCTGGCCGGTGGCTCCATGTTCACCGTTGCACGCCATTCCTTGCAGCTCTTCGAGCATCGCCTGTCCGTTGCTGGCGTACAAGTTCGGCGAGTTATCATAGCCCGAATAGTTGTTGACATCGAAACTGGTGCAAGAGGTTAGTCTCGCACAGAGCGCACCCGCAACTTCCACCGCGGCATCGAAGTTGAGCAGCCCGCCGGCGCCATTAACCAGATTTGGAGCCTGGAGCGTAGCCGGGTGCTTGCCGTTGCTCATACAGTGGCCTGTCGTGTTCATCTGGTAGAATCCGAGGGCATTCGGAGAACCGCTCACGGCGGCTGCGACCACCGCAGGCGGCTCACAGTAGGGCGAGGTGGAGGGCGGCGGCGACGGCGAGGTGGAGGGCGGCGGCGACGGCGAGGTGGAGGGCGGCGGCGACGGCGAGGTGGAGGGCGGCGGCGGCGACGGCAAGCTGGAGGGCGGCGGCGGCGACGGTGAGGTGGAGGGAGGCGGCGGCGACGGCGACGCAGACGGAGGCGGCGGCGACGGCGAGGCGGAGGGAGGCGGCGGCGACGGCGAGGCTGAGGGAGGCGGCGACGGCGACACGGACGGAGGCGGCGGCGACGGCGAGGCGGAGGGAGGCGGCGGCGACGGCGACGCAGACGGAGGCGCGCAGTTCTCCTTCAGAGGGACAAGCCAAATTTCACACCCACTCCGGTCAACGCGGGTACGGAGTGAGAACTTGAGAAACACCTGTATAACCCGGCAGGAACTGTGGCGAACTCTAGGCACTCGCGAGCACTCGCACACACTGCCAGGAACTCGCCACAACCCACCACAAACCCGCCCGAACTGGCCAGAACTGGCCCGAACTGGGCGGAACTGGGTGGAACTGCTCGACATCCCGCACATTCCGAACCTCCACACACGCCGCAGCCCAGCGCGCCAGCACACACGGGGCGCACAGGGTACAGAGGGTACAGAGGCATCTCGCGGTGTATGGGGACGCGCACGCGCGCCTCCACACTCGCAAATCGCCCGAGCGCCAGGCTGCGGCGGGGCCAGCCCCACGGCGCGCACCGCAAAGGTGCGCGCCGGCGGGCCGGCACATGCTAAGTCCTCTCGCCCCCCACTAGTGCACAGGTGGGGGGGGGTGGGAGGCGAGAGGGAGATGCTGCAACACGCCACAGCGCGCCCCCCCTAGGGTGGAGAGCCGCTGCTGCGCTGCGCAGCGGCCGGCCGCCTAGTCGACCAGGGGGTCGCACGCGCGGCAGCGCGAGGCGGCGCAGCAAACGCGGGGAGCCCAGCCGAACTTTCCTGGCTCCAGCTGGTCGTCCGCGCCGTGGTGCGCGTCGAGCCACTGCGCAGGGTGGGAAGGAGGGGAGGGGGGGAGGGGAGGGGGGGGGGGTCAAGGGCCGTTGCGCGCGGAAAGAAGGGGGGGGGGGGAGTGTACACAGGATAGGGCCGTGGCGACGGCGGCGGCGGCGGCGGTGGCGACGATGGACGCACCTTCTTGACGGCGCCTCCGAGGTGCGCCTTCTTGAGGAGCGAGAGAGGGAGCCAGTTGCTCTTGTCGAGCTCCGCCTCGGTGGGGGGCATGCCGCGCTGGCACAGGCCCACCATCACCGTGTCGTCCGAGCGCACGCGGCACCGCTTCTTCAGGCAGACGGCAAAGGGCTCGCGCGTGGCGAGCTCGTCCTTGCCAGCGTCGCCTGAAGTTTGGGCGCACGGAGGAAGGGGTCAGGAGGACGGGTGTGGGGTGGGGTGGGGAGGGGGGAGGGGGAAGGGGGGAGGGGGAGGAAGCGGGGGTGGGGGTCCCGTGTATAGGACTTAATTGAGAGGCCGCGACGCACCCTCCTCGTCCTCGGTCTCGCTGCCGTCGCTCTGCTCCTCGCCCTCGTGCGGCTTGTCGAGGCCGTTGTCCGCGAGGATCGTCGCCTCCGCGCCGAGCAGGTCCGCCGGCGTCAGCCGGCGCGCCTGCGCCAGCACCTCCGCCGCCGCCGTCCGCGCGCCCTCCTTCTTGGCCTCCTTCTCCACCTCGCGCCGCTTCTGCTGCTTGTCGTCGGCAGTCTTGGCCTGGGAGGTGGAGCGGGGGTGGGGGTGGAGCAGGGGGCGGCAGCAAGGGTGGGGGGGGAAGAGACAGCAGGGGCTGCGCAGCGAACCTTCTTGGCCTGGCGCGCGAGCGCCTGCGGGACCTCCTCGCCGAGGAAGTCGCGGTTGTGGACGCCGATGCGCACCTGGATAAGCGGCAGGGGTGTCTGCACACCTCTCGCTGAGCGCTTTCTCGAGCTCAAATCTCGGCGAAATCTCGGGAGATTGCAATCTCGATCTCGGGAGATTGCAATCTCGATCTCGGCGCAATCTCAATCTCGGTGTGATATGAATCTCGTACGTTCAGTCGCCTTGGACGTGTCGGCCATGGCCTGCATCAGGAAGTCCCGGTGCTCCTTGGGCGAGGTGGCGGCGATGGCCTTGTGGATGTTGGCCTGCTCAACCAGGTCCGGCCGCGGCGGGGGGGTGGGGATGGCCGGCGTGACGCGCGGCGGCGTGGTCGCGGGCAGCCGCGAGAGCTGCAGGCGCGCGGAGGACGCGGAGGACGCGGAGGACAGCGCCGAGGAGCGCTGCGCCGGCTTCTCCCGCACGTAGCCGCTCGCGTCGACCACGTCGTCGTGCCTGTACACAGCGGGCGCGGCGTTGAGTTGTGGAGAAGGGCGCCCAGGCACGCGGAGACAAGTGCGCCGCAGCGGGCGGAGGCGGGACGGCTTCACGGCCAGGAACTTGATGTCCGGCGCGTCCACCCGGCCGTTCAGAAGCGCCACCTTGAGGCGGGCCTCGTTTGCCGGGGGCAGCGGCCCGGTGGAGGAGGAAGGCGGCTCGACCCACTCGATGATGCGGACCAAGAGGTTGTTGAGGTCGGGCCGCGCGTTGAGGTTGATGATGACAGCCTCCGACTCGAGCTTGAGGTCGAACGACGCCAAGATTGCCACCAGGACCATCTCCTGCGGACGGGAGGGGAGATTGGGTCGGGCTCGGTCGGGCTTGCCTGTAGACTGGGGCTCTGCGCGGCGGGCGGCGGGCGGCGGTGGGAGGGCGCACCCTTGTCAGCGCCGGGTTGAAGTCCTCGTCCGCAGCCGACATGATGCCGCTCTGCCGGTCGCGCGAAACGTTGCGCGGGTTAAAGCCGAGCGTGCCGTTCGAGGAGACGACCAGGCGGGGCTTCTGGCAGAGCAGGTACGGCGCGTCGACGCCGATGACCGCGTCGGCGGTGGCGGTCCCGTCCGTGAGGCAGGGGCGTCCCTCGCTGGCGGCCGCTACGAGCCCGGCCAGGGCAGGCGTGATTCCTCCCGACGGGCGGCGGGACGAGGACGGCAGCGGGCCCGCGTAGGGAATGATGTTCAGCTCCCACAATGCTCCCATGTCGCGCACCTCGAGTCGGGTGCCAGCCCACTGCACAGGGAGGGAGGGGGGGGTCCGCAGGGTTATTGAGTTTGGGGAGCTGGGAGGGAGTGTGCCAAGCAAGTTTGCGCACCCCGACCGAGGCGACGAGCGCGACCTGGTAGTCGCGGTCTGTCGAGTCGACGTCGACGCCGAGGAAGGGGACGTAGCGCTGCTCAAAGATGCCGGACGCGTAGAGGAACTTGAAGTGCGCGATGTTGCCGGCCAGCTTGGACCACGCGATGATGTGCTCGATGTCGACCTTCACGCGGGAGTAGTTGGCATCGGTCCACGCGCCCGTGTACTTGTTGCCTTCCATCATCTCCATGATGTTCAGGTCCGGGTGGTGCCGCGCCGCCTTCTGCACCAAGTTCTTGAAGTCGAGCAAGTTGTCGGTGCGCTTGACCAGCTGGAGGTAGGGCAGGCAGAGGCGGTCGAAGTTGTCTCGGCAGGCCCTGAGGATCTTCTTCACGTCGGCCGGCAGCAGCCCGTGGCACGCAGTGCGCTGCGCATTGAGGTAGTCCTGTGAGGCGACAAAAGGCGCGCATTGAGTGGGGAGCGCCTTGTGCAGGGCGCGTGCGGGGGGCGAATGAGACGTGGGGGAAAGCGGGGGTGTAGGGTACCGAGCTCGGCCGGTCGGTGCCCAAGCCGGGCCAGCCACCCTCGACGCGCGTCTTGATGCCGGCGCCGTCGCCGGCCGCACTCGAATGCACGAAGACATTGTGCGAGTGGAGCGCGATGATGCAGAAGGTCTCGTTGGGGATCTTCTTGGGCTTGGAGAGTGACTGCGAGGGCGTACAGGGAGGGGCGTCAGAGAGGTGGGGGTGCTCCACGAATTCGTCTGAGGGCCAACCTCAGCACAGAATTCGCCATGGCGCGACGAGGATTCTGGTCTCGGACTGGCTGGGAGTGTGTCGCGAGGTCTCGTGGGCCTCAGAGTCGGCTCGGGCGGCGCGAGACGGTTCGATCGCACCATCTCGGGTCGCGTGGGGCGGTCGGGAAGGGCTTGGAGCTCTGGTTTGGGAAGCTAAGGATGGACGCCAAGGTGGCGACAATGGGGCGCCGCGAGCTAAGGAGCCAATTTGGCGCGCCGCGCCTCAATTGTGTACTTGACACAGCACCACTGCAAAAAACGCCATGTCTGTGGATCTGTCCCTTTTCGAGCAGCAAGGGTGCAAAGTCGACACAGGATACGACCTTGATGTACTGCAGCAAATTTTCGACGATCAACACTCGCACAGTGGCTCGGCGCCGGGAAGTTTCGGCGGCGCGCTTCCCGCACCGCCGACGCAGGCAAAGCTGACCAAGCAAGCGGCGTACTTTTATTGCTACTACATGTGCGTGCCGTAGGAGTATTCTCTCTCTCTTCATCTGCGGCGCGGCTGCTGCCCGCCGCCCTCACTTCATCCCCACCCCTCACCCTCCCGTGCGCGCTGCTGCAGGTGGATCCACAAGGGGATCCACCCAAAGTGGAAGGAGGCGTGGACGATGCCCAAGTTCCCCTCCCTAAAGATGTCCGAGCGGACCTTCGACCGGCGAGTGCTGCCAATCGGCATCGCGCTGAAGCAGATGAACTACATCGAGTACGACCGCCGGTGCGCGCCTAGACATACCCGCGCAGACACACTCTCTCTCGGCACGTGTGCGGCATCACCACGCGGCATCACCACGCCCTGCCTCGCCTCTCTTGACCAGTACAATCACGGCACACTCGCCCGCACCTCTCCCCCCCCCCCCCA